AATAAAAAAAAACAACAAAAAATTATAAAAAATGCTGAATACATTTTATATCAATTGAAAATTTAATTTACTTCAAAAAAAAAACGAAATGCAAAATTTCAACATCAGCATATCCTAAAATTATTGCAAATCATCTGAATGGAATATAAAATTCAGGATTACTGAGAAGATGAAATAATGCGGGTGGAGATTGTTATGTAACTTAATTGTTTTAAAAAATAAAATTTTATTCGCTATGAGGAAAAAGAATTGCAATTAAATGAAATCAAATGAAAGAGCTAATTATTGGATGAGAGATCAGAATTGTTAAAAATAAATAAGTATTGGATTGCACTATAAATTTAAATGAAAAAAAAAGAAAAAAAGTTAAATGAGGTAGAAAAGAGAAGCAAAAATAATGACATGAAAAAAAGAAATTGAACTTTTGCACGAATAACAATTTCAATTGTATCACTGGTTCCACTTGTAGAATTTTTTCATTGCAATTACCCGAAAATTCCCGCAAAATTCAATACTTTTCCTGAATTATGTGCAAATTTTACGATGTTCTGTTTTAGATTTTAGATTTGAACGAACGGTATGTTGCAGTAAATTTAAGAGATGATTTTGAGTATGACTAGAATTATCGGTGAGAATGCTTGAGCAGTTTGCGAAATGTAATTTAAAGGCTTTTTTGGTATCAAATGTTGCGGAACAGGTCCTACATACGAAATTATTTGAAGAAGCGGAAGCGGATGATGACGATGATGATGACGCAGCGGCTATCGGATCATCTCCGCGTGGTTTATGCCATCGGCGATGTGATGCTAAATTTGCCGGACAGCTAAATACCTGAAATCAAAAAAAAAAAAAAAATTGGGTATAATATGACTTAAAGTAATTTCGAATGTAAAATGATTCAGAGAAAGTTTAATTTAAATTAATTAATATGGATAGCATAGCTATCTACAGGAATACCAAGAGGCAATTATTTTTATTACCAATGAAAATTTTTCATTCATTACTCTTTCCTTTTCTCTGCTAATAGTACAATAATCATTTGCTGAATTTCTCTTTCAAAATTATATATCATTTATTTCATATTTCTTTTTTTTTTCTTGTCAATAAATAAGTTTCATGTGAAAAACCTTAAGAAATTCACCAATTTATATTAAATATTTCCAATCTTTATCAAATTTATGCAAAAGATGATAATTTTGTTTAAATTTTCAAAAAATTATAATTTGAAGTAAAATAAAAAGAAATGAGGATGAAATATTAATCAGAACAAGAAAATAAACAAAAATTAAATCAGAAAAAATAACAATGTGCTAAAAATTTAGATGAAATAGTGGAATTATAAATGAATCAGTTATGTAAACTTTAAATTAATCGGCGCATTTGATGATTTTTGTTTGCAAATATCAAATTTTTAATACTATTGCTAACATTTTTACATATATGTACATTTGGAATTTACCCAATTAAAGTATACCATAGCAGCGTGCTCATCAAAGAACTATTAGACAACGGGTGGTAAATGATAGAATTGGTAAATGGTACTTCAAGAATTAAACGAGAAATCAAATGAGAGCTAAAATAAAAGAGGAAGAAAAAAAAAACAATATCAGTGGGTGGTAAGGTCAAGAATGATCATTTTGACATATCCTTCTTCATTTCTTCAAAATTCCCTCAATTCAATGTTAAATCATGTTTTTCACATAATCATCAAGGAGGCGTTAATTTCATCGATCGTTAATTTCACTTGCAATTGCTTACCGAAATGTCACCCTGAACTATCGCGATAGACAACAAAGCATAGCAAGTGCTTATACCATCAATTCTCGTATGCACCTGCCATTTAATTATGGATTTTGAAGAAGGAAGCAAACGGGTCCGTTGATTTGGATGCTGGACGATTGTTAATCATACTTTGAGGACAAGACCCATATATTTGGTTATATTATTAGTTAAACTATGCCTATCAAA